AACCTTCTCTCGTCCTCACTCCGACCTCGTTCCTAAATCGAGGATATTCATTCACATCCTCTTGGCTCAGGTGGGAGCTTTGTAGCTCACACAGCCCGCAGACCATATGACTCCATTTCACGAGCCTCTGCCTCATAGAGACCACCCTCCTCAGAACATTTTCTCGTATTTTACAAAACTCGGCTGTAAGGGAAAAACATGAATCCTTACACCGAACTAAAATTGGGTAATAAGGCTCGATTGGCTCCAAAGACTTAAGGGAAAGAAAAGGTCCTTGTTTTCTAATGTCAAATCCCAGATCTTAAATTTGAAGAAGAGTTCTGATCACGCTGACGCAAAAAAGAAAGAGGCTTGGCCAGAAAGAGAGGAAAAGGAGACGCAGCCTGTGGATGCCATGCCATGCACGAGCCCCGTTCTCCAGCTTCTCAGGAACCTGCGTGCCATCTTCAGGTTCTTTTTCCGCCTGAGCGACTCCGAAGTCCCCTGTTTGCTTATATCAGCTAACGTCGGTTTCTGTTGCTTGCAACTCAGAAACCCTTACTGATTCATAAATAAAGGGGTTGGGGACACGATTATGAGTGGAAAGAGATAAATAAGGTGAGAAGAGCTGTCGAGAAGATGGGGAAGGAACACCGCTGAACCCTACGGCTGTCTCATGTGTTGGGAGATTCCATTCCGAGTCTGGGCATAGCCTTAAAAAATGAGGTCCCGCCCACCTCCACCATTTCTTACTCAAGTGTCCCCTGTTCCTTATAATCGAGGTGGCCATTTTTTTTTATTATTTTTATTTTTGTATTAGCCAGGATTCTTTTTATCGCAAGTAACAGAAAGATAACTAATCAGTCGTAGCAAAAAAAAAAAAAAGGTCCAGGGACCACACGTCTGGCTAGATTCAGAGGTTCACTCTTGCTCTTGCTGTGCTCGATTCATTCTCCAGCTTTCCCCTCCTGATGGCAGAGGCGGCCACCAGAAGCTTCGGGCTTATTTTGCACTAGCTCATCATCTCGGGTGAAGAAATTTCTCTTTTCCAACAGTTGTGACACAAGTTCTGTGACTGATGCTCGCCGGAAAAATCTGAGTTGCTTTCCGCGAAGGATGATTAGAAAATCATGATCAGCCCTGGAACTAGCCTCAGCCCACACAGACCACACAGGAAAAGAATCAGATTACTAGCTGCTCACCAGGACTTTTCTTCAGCTCATTCTGGGTGACAAAACGCCCAACTATTAGCCAGGCATCTAGCCACCCAGAGTGAAGGGCACAATTCAAAGGATCCCTTGAAGCTAGAAAGCCGTGTGACAATATTCTCACCAACTGAATATGCAGGCGCCTTCTTGGAAATGTCCTCAAAGGGACACGTCAGGTCTCTCTCCATCCTTTCTCCCTTACCTATGTCCAGAATGTGGACATGATGGCTGGCAACGACTAAGTCATCTTGGACTACGCGGCCACTTGGGAACGGAAGTGCATGGTGGAGCCTGGGTCCCTAGCCCCATGGAGCCCTGCCAGCCTGCAGGCATCTGCACCTTTCATGTAACAGAAGAAGAAATATATCTCGTTTGAGTGTCTTTGGCAAACTACACAACCCAGCATAAGCCTCCCCGATCCCCCCAAAGGAGAATCATGTTACAACTGTAAAAAGGGGGTGGAAGGTAATGAGACGGGGTGTCTCACTCCCTGAAGAATTCTACCTAAGTCACAGTCAGTTCTGGGTGGAAATTTGAAGAAGCAGATCTGCCTGGCTTGGATGCATCTCAGTACCCAGGAATTTCAAAGATAAAAATAATTTGTAAATGTAGCCAAGCACAGAATTGTGAGAAACAACTATATCTACATTTCCCTCCCCTAGGAAAAAAGTGCTTGTCGAGTAGATTAATCCACATTTAACTGTGTGATTTTGACAATGAAGTACAGAAATAACAGGTTCACGATGTGAAAGTATGGATTAGAATTCCTTTCAACATATTTGTTTTGACATTTTTATTAGCATTTTGAGTGCGGGATTAATTAAGTTGTAATCAAACATGGAGATGACATGAAGCTTCATGCCTTGAATTACAGAACCCCAGCGGGTTTTGCAGCTCATCGTAACCCCCTATTTTACAGCCGAGAAAACCGAGGCTCAGAGAGGTCAACCCACTTGCCCCGGGTACACCTGGAATCAAGAGCAAAGCTGCTGGGATCCAATCTTTCTTCCTCTTGCTTTTGGAATAAATGAGAGCTACATTCCGATCCAAGATTCAAGTAGACCTTTAAAAAAAAGAAAAACCATTGAAGCAGTGAGCTGATGAGACGAGATACAATTTAATCAGGTCAAACGTGTAAGGACGCACATGTTCGATCCAAAAAAGCCCACTGTACGAAGCACAGTGTGGGGCCGATGCGCCTTAATCAGCAGCACTTGTGAGAAACACTTAGAGATGTGACTTGGCTGCCAGCTTGAGGTGTCAGCAGTGTGATGTAGCTACAAGAAAAAGATGATGCCGTCACAGCCGGTAGCACTAGCAACAGAGTTTACAGCAGAGAAGCCGGAGTCCTGTTGAACTTGGCAGTCTGTACCTGGAATCCCTCATTCGGTCCTAAGCGTCAGATTTTAGAAGAGATCTAGACGAGGTAGTCCAGCTCTGGGATGGAGCTCCGTGAATACTCACAGGAAGTCGGGGAAGGGAAGCGCTGTGAGGAGACTTTGAACCTTGGGACGGGGCTGCCTGGGCTTAACGCCAGCTCTGTCTGTTCCTGAGGATGTGTTCATTGAGGCTTCATCTCACTGCACACGAGGGATCACAGCGGTGCCTCTGTCCCTTTGGAGATGACAGAGGTACCGCAGGTCACGTGATTCGCACGTTCCCGGCACAAAACAAGCGCTTGATAAATGGGGGCTACTAGATTGAGGAGATGGAGGGATGTGGGGATGATGGCAGGTTGGGGTGAAGATTAAACGCGTTGACACACACCCAGTGTTTCAGATAAACTTGGTAGCTATTGTTATCGTCCGCAGCAGACGGCTTGGCCTGAGCTTCCTAGGGATGCTCAGGGTGTAGGGACAAAATATTCGCTGGCCGGGTCTAGGCCACAGAGCCCGATGGCGTTATTCTCTGAAGAAGGATGCTCAGTTCTGTGTGTGTGTATTGGGGGGGGGGTCACTCACACGTCCTGAAGGGGGGTACTCACTTGGTAAACACCTGGCCCCGGGAGCTTGGCATTGTCATGGAGCTACAACTTAGTTCTGGGCCTCCATCATGTAGGCCTGTTCTGACCCGCGGTTCCGATCTACTAGCGAGGTCACTTACCCCAGTACTGGGGCTTGAGCCTGCTCTGGACGTGGTCGCTGACAACTGTCTCCTGGGCAGTCTTGGGCATCATTCGAGATGGAAGTGCTCGTGGACACGTCCTCCCCGCCCTGTTTCCTCTCCTTGTGCCACCGCGTGAAGAAGTCCACAGCGTCCTGGACCTGCGGGGCCCTGGGGGGACCCTGAACAGCTCCCCAGGGATCGGTCCGCCGCTAGGGGGCGGCCGCTAAGAGAGGAGCCCGCCCGCGCCGCGCGGAGTCGGGTCGTAGGGGGCTAGCTCTCCCGCCAGGCCCGGGAAGAGTGGGGTGACAGCGAGATGGGGGCGCGCTCCATGGGTGTGAGACAGAGCGAGCCGCATGGGTGTGAGTCAGCGCGTGGGGCGGGGGGTGGGGAGGTTAAGGAGCTCCATGAATAGTCACAAAATCTCACTCACGCTCGGCTCCTCCACCCATCCGGTCTAGAGCGTGTGTCCCCGTCCCGCGCGGGTGTCCCCGTCCCGCGCGGGTGTGCGCGCACTGCACGATGTCTGATTCTCTGTGTCTGTTTGGTGAGATGGGGTGGGGGGAGAGGGGAGTGTCCCTGTCGCTGTTTCTGTGCCCGGGGTGGGAGATTTCTCCTTCCCCGCCCCATGTGGGGGTGGGGAAGAGTGTCCCGCCCGGGGACGTGTGTACCTGTGTATGTGCGTGCGTGCGTGTCGGCGCGGTGGGACCGCTTATCAGTACAGGGTGCTTGCGTCTGCGCCTGGGTCTATGTCTGGGTCTGGATGTCGGCGCGACCTCGACCCGGTTCCCACCCCTGGGTGTCGGGAGGCCAGCGTGGTGCGGGTGTCCAGCCCCCAGAGGAGTAAACGCCTCCGCCGACTCCCAGCCCCGCCCCGAGCTGGCCAGGGCTCCTACGGGCGTGGCTTGCGCAGGGCGGGCCTGGGGCGTGTGTCCTGGGAGGGGTGGTGGGCCAGGTCCCCGGGCGGGGCGCGGGCTCGGGGGACCCGCGCGGCTGACGTCAGGCGACTCCTTAAATAGAGCCGGCAGCGGCTCGGC